GCGGATACCCTACAGCATCGCGCGTTTATATGCGATCGGAATCATTTGCTTACGATGAAACTAAGTTGAATTTTATTTGAATTTCATTACAATTCAACGAATTTATTTTTTGCGCGTTATTATAATCACTACTGACTAATATTCAACAATTGTGAAACGCAGCATGACCGGATTGCACAACCATAATCATTTGCTACTACCAATGCAGTTGTGTTCGTTTTTATTTGAAACCTCGTTGAGAATATACTTTCGTTACCAATAAAATAAAAACAAATGTATTTGAAAAATTACACTGGGCGACATTGTAATGAAATTTCAGGCGGTCTACTTTTTAATTCAACAAGAATTATTAATTATTGTTAATTCTGCAATAGTTGCTTTCGTCTTGGGTGGCCAAACTGGCGGTATTGAAAGTCTGCCTAGTTAGATACTTCAATGATGAAAATGGAAGTCCCCAAAAAATATTTGATGATTATTTTTTGAAATTTTGAGTCCAAAATAAGTGCCCACCAGCCGTGAAATCCCCAGAGCGATTTTTCGGATGGCAAATTTACGGCAGCATATAAAGAAAGTATTATTATGGACATCTCGCGTATATTGCCGATGTTTTATACTGTTTGTAGTTTGCATATGAATGTAGATGCCCCTCCTATTATTCGACGTCGTTGACAATGCAATAACAATGCCACTCGCACTGTGCACATTTTAGCGCTAGATCTAGTGGCATTTTAGCACTAGATCTAGTATTTTCTCGGATTAGTGCTACTAGCACTAACCACTCGCACTACGCCCATTTCGACACATTTACAGACATGGAGTTGACTTATAAAATTATGAAATAGAACACTAAATAAAAACTAGTATTTCAATGTCTTGTTTGATCACTGACAAATGTGTTGGGTAAAAGAAGGAAGAACTTACTCATTTAATTTTACTGGGAAGACTTTATTCAATTTTATGACAACCAGTGCTATTACAAAACGTCCAGAAAAATAGTTGACACTGATTGTTGCTGAAGTTACCAAACAAGGGTTCATTAGGTATGAACAGACATACCATGTTTAAATATACTTGTATTTGAGAAAAACTATGGACATGTACAAGAATACACATACAGATCCAAAAGTATTGATCGATTATTAACAATTTTACATGCCTTTGCACTCTTTTGGCAAAATGAAGGAGAATGTCTGTATCACAGGCCAATTTATACCTCCTTTATCACCTGTTGCTACCTTAGAGGGTGAATTAATAAATATGTTACATGCCCTAGCCCTTTTGGGCAAAACGAACTATGTATTACCTGATTGCGAACTAATGTGAGTTGGTGAGATGACATATTTTGTTTACTAGATTATCCTTGAATAATTTTCTTCTTCTTAATGTGCTCTATATATTCATTCGATTCATATCATCTGTATACTATTAAGACAATATTTCTGTAAAATACTATCATACTTACAAAAGTTGTGTATTCGTTGTAATGCCTTTGTTAGACTTTGGTTTTCTCAAAACAATGGTAGCAGTGGTTTCTGTTAATACTGGTTCATTTGTCTCTTGAGGCTCTTCCAGAATATCAGAAACATCAATACCTATAAATGTAATTATTATCAATGTCATTATAATATTCATAATATTATCCTATAAAAGGTTTAGGATTATTTCACACTGACTTGATGATTAGTGATTCTAACAAAGATTACAACATCATCATGGTCAATTCATGTTTTCTTGTTTGAGCATTTACTTACTCACATGTAGTTTAATTACTGTTATTCTGTCAACAATTTTTTTACAAATTCATGATTCTTACAATTGAAGTATATATTTAGGTAATTGACTCCTATCAGCTATACCTCACACCTGTGAACATTATTTTATCTAGTTTGCATGAATTAAATAATTTGCAATATATAACTGTAATAAAATAACTACTAGCAACTGTACTAATTTAAAGTAAATACAATTATTGAGTTTGATGTTCTAAGATGGGCTGGGATGCTATTTGTCACAATGAACTTGATGTTACGCCTAGTACTATCATCAGAATCATTATGCATGTAATTTGTAAATAAAAGGATGTAGTTTGGAATTTTTTTTTGGTTGTCATTCACATCAATTAATTCAACTTGATCATACAATGTAAACTTACCAATTTTAGTTCCAGCGATAATTGATTTAGGTTCACCAAATCCCTTTGATGTACTTGCACTCACTGATATTTCAAACTGTGTTCCTGGGGGCAATCCTTCCAGTGTGTGTGTATCAATACTGCCCTCAACGAGTAGATCCTTTGATTCCAGCAAAGTAGATGAATACATGGATTCATATAATTTATACGTTATCTATTAATCAAATAAATTTTAAAATGAAAATAAATAAAAATATAAAATGAGTAGATAAATGCAAACAAGTCATTGTCAGAATGAAAGCCCAAATCAGTGTTTGTCAACATTAATGTCAAATAATTATGTACACTCATGTGACCGATATTGTACAATGTGAAGCCTGTTTATTTGAGCAATTACTTCCTTTATTATGCCAATCTTGAATCAGATTTTGAAACAGATGTATGGGTAAATGTGTTACACGATGTCTAATGTTTGAACATAATCAGTCCAGCTATGTTGTCCATACACAACTGAGTACACAAGGAAGGTTCTCTCTAGAAAGCACCAAGACATATAAATATAAACCCAATTTCTAGGCCTAAATAATTGCCTGTCAATCTGTAAATAATGTCCTCAGAACTTATCGGTAAATGGGATACAACAAGCAGCGTGTTGTGAAGCAAGCTGGAATCAAGCATGCACAAAGGGGGAGGCTGGCATAGAGTTGCAGGAACTCAAAGAAGTGAATATTTGAGTCTGTTTTCCGACTTCCAAACAGATGCTAATTACTTACTCTATATTGTAAAATATACCCACTGAATATGGTAGGATCTGTCCATATGAATCTTATGCTGTTTTCAGTTGTTCTTTGTACAACAATGCTGGCAGGTTTACGAGGAACTGTAACATATGATAATTTTATACATTACTTGCAACAAATAAACACACAGGTACTACATGTATGTTAAGTAAACTGTTAAGATATATAACATACTTGTTTCTGTTGTATTTGTATTCAATTTATCACTGTATTCACCTTCCCCAACACTAGTAAAAGCAGACACCTGAAATATAGTTTTATGCAATAGGTATGAAAAGGAATAATGTACACATTGTTATCTACCAGTATATACATGTACCCAAGTCTAATCTACTTATTAAAATATGATTAACATCTACATGTATGAAACCATCTATATTCTGGTGAACATACAAGCCTGCACGCCCCCTGTATATACACCTATTTATTTGAACCACATTATAGCCCCAGTAAGACCACATCTAACTTACGACTTATTTTGACCACTGACATACCTCTTTCATAAAAGTAATATAAAATAATTGTTCCAAACATGTCATATGTACTTACTATTACAGTATAGTTCACTTGGTATTCCAGATCGTTGATAATGTGTTCAAGTGCATCACCATTCTCTACCGATATATTTTCTTTAGTACTTTCATCACTTGTTTTCCAATATGTTATCTTGTAGGCTGTTATTATTCCATTTGGTGGGTCTGGTTCTAACCATGTAACAGTAATTGTATATACTGCTGGTTGTAGTGTTACATTTCTAGGCATAGAAGGAACTGTAATACAAATACATTATACAGTATATTATGTTATAGGATGTTTATATACAATTGGGTGGGTCTGGTTCTAACCATGTAGCAGTAATTGTATATGTTGCTGGTTGTTGTCTAACATTTCCTAGTCTAAAGAGAACTATAATACAAAAACATTGAGTAAGTTATTATACAATTGGGAGGGTATAGTTTTAATCATATAACAGTAATGTCATGTACTACGAATTGTAGTGTTATTTCGTATAGGCTTTGAAGGAACAACAATATAAATACAGTACTCACAGTATGTGATGTGTGCTACATTTAATGTACCACCAAACTGTATACTGTTATAATACACCCGAGGTATATGACCAATTGTTTTTTCCGGTCAACATGCGTATGCATACAATTTCATATTGGCTTAATATTAACGTTATGCAAATCGGTTCAAGATTATCCAAAACATGTATGAAATGCTGATGATACATCGACCATTAACTTACCATGATGTGAATGAAATCAGTTGGCAGTAATGATTTTGTGGCAAGCAAAATTTTAGAAGAACAGTATTCATTAATTTTGACATCATAATGTTTGATAAAATGAGTGCAACTCAACGGGCTCTTATCAGATTCCTTCATTTTTCTACAAGATATTGTAAATGTGGTATACATGTTTGATACCACATTTTATGGCATCATGGCATCTTAACTCTTCACAGCACTTATCATATTAGGATATTGAGCACATGAAGTTTGTACCTAAAGCCTGGCGCACACGAGAGCTATCAGCTCAGGCAAAATTCATTCGTGGCTGTTTGCTTAAGCAAATATCTTCCGTGTGCCCGCAACTTTACGCAAGATTTTAGTCACTCGTGGCGAAATGGTGAATATCTATTGTGTTTGATAAATTTCGCCACTCGTGGCAGAATGCTTTCCGTGTGCGGTGAAATGAAAGCTATCTGCTTACGCGTACTCGTAAGTGCGCATGTGTCGCGAATGTTTACATAACAACAAAATGGCTGCACCCACGGAATGGAGTAGGACCGATTCGTCATCCGAAGATGACGAAATATCGCTGTTGCTTTTGCTGCTTTTGCGCCGTCGGCGTCGGCGATTGAGAGCGGCATGTCGCAGGAGATGGACAAGGTTAAGAGAAGGCAAAGCCAAGGAGCCTACTGCAACCTCATACAGGAGTTGAATGCCGAAGATCATGAAAAATGTCGTCAGTACCACCGACTTGATAAACAGTCTTTTCAAGACGTATTAGAAATGGTCAGCCCATTTATCACTAAACAGGACACCACAATGAGATGCTCTATTACTGAAAGTGAGAGACTGGCTGTTACTTTACGTTTTCTTGCAACAGGTAAAGGGAGAACATCAAATCTCATTATCAGACCAAGGAAAAAAACATTATTTTAAA